CCAAAATGTTTACAATGTAGAATTACCAATAATTAATATTCCCTTATTATATTATTCTATTATTTTCTACAATGAAGTAGAAAAGTTATTTTAAAACAAGAAAATATCATACTGGATAATACAACCTAAGTAGTCAGAATTATATAAAAAATATATAGAGAGATTCTAGGTGAGAAAATTTAGGTGAGGCATCCTGGTACAATGCTGTAGGATATTGCACTGGACTGCAAGATTGGTTTGAACCACAAGGTCGGCAGTTGAAACTGACTAGCTGCTCCTTGGAAACACTATAAGGTCACTATGAGTCGAAACTGATTCAATGGCACTTAACAACAACAAAGCATTAAAGCATATATGTATTTAAAGAAGAAGAAAGGACACAGGGAGAGACACAGGCAGATAAAGAAAAGGGAGTGACAAAAGGTTGTGAGACAATGTTTTCAAACAAGTGTATAAGGATTTTTTCCCATAGTTTCTAGAAGTTTAGGAGCCAAAGACTGTGGTTGTTGTATTTAAGTGCTGCCAAGTAGGTTCCAACTCATAGTGACTCTGTATAGGGTTTCCAAGAAGCAGCTGGTGAGTTTAAACCACCAACCTATCAGTGTTCAGTCAGTGCTTATCCTATAGCACATACTAGGACTCCAGAAATCATGGTAGTTATCATTAAGTGCCCCCAGCTGATTTATCAGTATATGAACACTCAAGAAGGAGACTTGGAGGTGCCAAAGTGAAAGCACTCAGTTGCTAGCTGAAAGGTCAGTGTTTCAAAGCCACGATCTGTTTTGCAGAAGAGAGATGCAGCAGTCTCCTTTGCCTAAAGATCATAGACTGGGAAACCCTGTTCTGTAGGGTTACTATAAGTCAGTAGCTAACTCAACAGTAGTGAGTTTGGTTTAGTTTGAGCATTAAAAATAAATTAATTTTCTAAAGACCAGGATATTTTCCAGTTAACCACTTCCTAAACTTAAAGTGCTGAATTAGAATGTGACGAAGTTAAAACTGAGATAGTATGGAAAGAATCTGAGCAGTTGAAGCAAATGAGTGGGTCTTTTTTTTTTCTTAATTTTTTATTTTGAATTAAGTGAAGGCTTACAGAGCAGATCATCAGTTTTACATTCAACAAATCCTATACTGTGCTTCATTACAACGATTGTAATCCTTTCCATGTACTATAAATTAAAGCAAATATTTACTTTGGTTCGCTTTAATTCTTGCATTTCTCTTGTGTCTCCCACTACTTTCACCTTTCCTCTGCCAACCTCCATTTGGAGGTTGTTGGCCCCAACACTCATGGGTAACATGTGACTATCTTCTAGTCTGTGAAGACCATTCCCACCCCAATAACCATCATAGATTGTTTCTTTTATCAGGAAAACTTTCTCTCAACTCTTTAGAACTGTGGTCTCATAAATACCTGTCCTTTTGTGATTGATTAATTTCACTCAGCATAATATCCTCCAGGTTCATCCATGTTGTAAAGTGTGTCTTACGCTTTCATCTGAGGTATTGGAAACCATATTAACTTCCTATCCCAATTCCTTTGTGGTAATAGGAATTTTTTTTTCTATTAAAAAGCAGTATCTTTATTTTCATTTACAACACTTCTTTAAACTGAACTCACTGGCAGGTGGGTAAGGAAGGGGAGTCAGTGACCTTTTGATTTCACAACATACAATGACACTCATTCATCTTACACACATTGCTGTTAAGTCCCGTCGAATTGGCAACCCTGTATAGGGTTTCCGAGGAGCAGTTGGTAGGTATGAACCACTGACCTTGTGGTTGGCAGTTCAGTGTTTATCCTACAGCACCACACCAGGACCCCTCTTACATACAGGGACCCCTCCAAATCCACCACCTTGCATTACCTGAAACAGGAATGGTTAAGAACAAACAATCCACAGTAGGTGGTTTAACAGAAGATGTTGTTTTACTTTTCAAAGTTTCTAAATATCATTTTAAAAAATTTCCTTCTGCCTCCCCAAATGCTATATGCCAAGGAAAGACTCTAACAATATTTCAAATTTGTCCCAGGGGGAAATAAAATCCAAATCTGTTCTCATTTGGTACTGTTATTGTTTTGTGTCTTTGAATAGGTTCCAACTCATAGTGGCTCTTTGTAGGGTTTCTGAGAATGTCTGGTTGGGTTTGAACTGTCGACCTGTGGTTACCAGTTCAACACTTATCCTACAATGCCTGGGCTCCATTTCATCATTAGACACATTAATGAGTACTTGCAATAACAACGCTAGAAGATAATGTTAGCAAAACATTGTATGTGAAAATCAGAGACACTAAGAGACACTTGCTGAATATTGTGCCAGTATTAACCTAGAGGGAAAGGCTTGGAATTTAGATCCTTTAATTCTCAAACATGTGGTTATTTCCAACATTCTATGCTGCAGAGTTTACTAATAGATTAATCCAAGTCAAAGTATTTGCCCCAAAAGGCCATGTATACATGTCTGTCTGCAGATTAGTAAAAATCCTTCTGCTCAGCTGCTAACCAAAAGGTTGGAAGTTTCAGTCTACACAGAGGCAATTTGAAAGCAAGGCTTGGTGATCTACTTCCAAAAAAAACATCATTTGAAACCCTTAGGTAGCACAGCTCTACCTTGACACACATTGGGTCACTATGAGTTGAAGTCAACTTGACAGCAGCTGGTGGTGGTGGGGCAGATTACTTAATTGTTCAGCAACAGTACAAATGAGTAGGAAATCATTCTGAAGTTCACGGCCACTTTGATATCCACTTGTGCCCCTTCACCCATATAGGAAGGGCTCTTCTCTCCAAATCATTTGTCCGTTAGGGCTTAAACAATGTCTACCCCTAACAAAAACTTGAACCACTTTCACAATTACTTTTTTCTATGCAACTTCAGTTTCACTTTAATAGATTGTGAATATCATGAGATGTACTTGTTCCCAAGTCCCACTGGAATATTTCTCCTGAGGTCATGTAGGCATGCTTTAACTCTCTTGTTGTTGTTGTTAAGTGCCATCGAGTCAGTTCCGACCCATAGCGACCCTGTACAGGGTTTCCAAGGGTGTAAATCTTTACGGGAGTAGAAAGCCTCATCTTTCTCCCGCGGAGCGGCTGGTAGTTTCGAACCGCTGACCTTAAGGTTCACAGCCCGATTTGTAATCTAGCTAGACCTTAATCAAGTTTTTCTACATGTAAGATCCATGCTTTCTCCCCATTTTCAATGCATTTCCCTTTTCTTACAGTGGCCTGGGATATTGTTATACGAGTACATTCAACAAATGCTTACTGAGGTGGATTACTGTAATGAAAATCCAGCTTGATTAGTAATTAGGAAGTAGGGATGCTAGCCCTACCACTAAGTAGCTGTGTTATTCTGGGAAAATCTATGGGTCTCAGTTTCCTCATCATAAAATGTTTATGGGGGCAAGAAGTAGGTGGAGTATATGAGTTCTGTAATCTCTAAGATACTATGATTATTTAATATTATGTTGGTAGCATAGTGGTTACAAATTGGGCTGGGAACCACAAAGTCAGCAGTTCGAAACTACCAGCTGTTCCGTGGGAGAAAGATGAGGCTTTCTGTTCCCGTAAAGATTTACAGCCTCGGAAACCCAGTACAGGGTCTCTATGAGTCGGAACTGACTCCAAGGCACATAACAACAACAAAAACAAGTCTTACTTTAGTCCATGAGGGATAAGAGAAACAATGAATGAGAATTCTGAAGAGAAGAATATTAAAAATAAACAAAATAATCAGAGACCAAATAGCAACCACTCAACAAGTAGAAGAAAGCCAGCATGCCTGGAAATTTAATGAAGCAAAGGAGAATCGCAGAGAGTAGTAATGTTCTGGACAAGGCTGAAATGGGATTATACGGGGCTAGAAAGCAGAATGTAAAAGAGGACTATGTGGCACTGTGGGCTAATGCATCAGACTGCAAAGTTATTTGAACTGCAAGGTCGGTGGTTCGTATACCAGCTGCTCCATGGAAACCCTATACAGGGCCACTATGGGTAGAATCTGCTTGATGACACTTAACAGCAACAAATATCTAGAACAACTTATTAGTGGTTAGAGAGATATAGCCCCCTTCCCCTCTATTTGCTAAGTCAGGGTCAGGCTTGAAATCATATACTAAGAACATCAGAATTGAGAGTGTTTATATCACTATGGGAAAAAAGAAGCATACTAATAACTTCTTTGTGGAAATAAAAATGGAAGCTACTAGTGCAAAAATAAGGATCAATACTGCTAACATTTGATCATTAGAAACATTTTTTTCTTGAATTTATTCTATTTTTGATATGGTAATTTTCATCAGGATATTTTGGCTAAGTAAGTTGAAGTTGATTAAAGAGCATAATAATTTCAAGTAAAATAACACTCATTTCATTAAAATTGGGTTTTAGCTAACAGATTACATAATAGAGAAAAACAGTCTTCTCCAGTGCCTGTAGCTGATTACATTAGAAAGCTCCCTTTGGTGGGATGAATGAACAGCAGGTAATGCACTGAAGTATCTGGTATGGCACAGGGGCAAGGATTCATCTGAGGTGTCAAATGAAAACAAAGTCCAAGTTTGGCTAAATCTTGATGGAAAAAAGAAAATATATCTTTAGAAAAGAAAATCTGTTAAGATTTTTCAAAAAGTATTTAAGTTGAATAACTGCTCTTGTATTATCAGATGTAAAAGTTTTCAGCTGGTATCCAAAATTGATGTGACATTTAAGAAGATTAGATCAATAGGAATGCATAGCTGATTAAAGGCCATAAAAAGTCCATTTTTAAAATGACAGATAATTTTAAGGAGATTTGATATTTAAAAGCCAATTTTAGTAATCACCTGATCAGGTTGGATATTGCAGAGAAGAAATTTATTAATCCAGGTTACAAAAATTGAAATACAGCTTGCCCTTATCTTCAGAAAAGGACCTAAAGTTCACCAACGTCTATAAAGCAATTTCTATTGTAGAAAAAAATTTTTTTTAGTCTGTGTGTGTAAGGCAAACATACCTGCTTCATCATAGGATACAGTCAATTTTTCCAGCATTTCTCGGTCAATTGATAGAATCTGCTGTTCAAGAATGGTCTGGTAGGACAATACACTATTTTCTTTGTCTTTCTCGTAGTCCTGAAGATGCTGTTTCAGGGCCTCTGGGAGTCGAGATTTTACATATTCAGCTGCAGTCTGCAGATGAAACAGGCAGAGAACTCTGTTAGAACTTCTCATCTTCTCATCTCTTCCCTCAGGTGCTGTAGAGAAAACTCAAAGCACTGCAGAACCAACCCTCTAGACAAGCATGTCCTTGTCATTGTCATTTTTAGACTCCAATATATCTAGTAAGGTAGTACTTCAAATAGAATCACAGACCAGACCTTTCAGAGTTGTCTACCAGGCTTAATGGTATAAAAGATGATAGATTTGGTTTGGCATTTACAGATTTAGTATTCAGTGTTTCAACTATTCACGTGAACTCTGAAGGCTATGTGATAGTGATTTTGCTGAGCAAATTTGACGTGCCCTTTTCTTGAATGCAGTAGTTACTCACTCATCTCCAAATTGAGCCCACCCATGCTTTAGCACCCTACTTTGATTTGCTATTCTGGTATTAAAGCTTATGTAAGAACTTTTCCTGACGCGACTAGAAAGGAGACCTCTGCTACTATTGATAATAATCACAGAAAATAAAGAAATTTATGTCCGTTAATATGAAAAGAAAGAAAAAAAAAAAGGTCTGCCATTTAAATACCGTGGCCTTTATATACTATTCTTAAGGTTCCGCGCCCCCCCCCCCCCCCCCCCCCCCCGCTATTATCACACTATGTATACAACCACCAACTAGTTGCCAACAAGTTGATTACTATTCATTGCAACCTAATGTGTTTCAGAGTAGAACTGCTCCACAGGGCTCAAAAGTAGATCTCTCGGCCTTTCTTCTCAGGTGTCTCTGGGTGAAATCTAGCTAGCCTTTCAGTTAGTAGCCAAGTGCTTAACCATCGACAACATCTAGAGACTTTTATGTATACAACACACACCTAATTTGTCATATCTGCAATTATGTACCGTGATCTGCAACCATGAAACCATGTTCTTCTTATGGGTAGGAAAAACAGGATGTATTTTAAAGACCTTTTCAAGGATTCTGATACGTTCTTCTGGTGCATTGGGGAGACAGCATACTTTCCCCCTTCCCACTGAGAATGTCAGCTTTAATGAAGTTTAAGGGAGAAATTAAGTGATTAAGTGGATGGGTGAATCAGGGGGATTCTGAAACTCTTAAAACTTATCTCGGCCAAGAGTTTTGTATTTCTTTGTAGTGCAGTCCTGAATATTGTGTAAAGTTGATAAATCAATAAAAGGAGGCATGTATGTATTGTTCAATATTATACTTACAACCACTAGAAAAGTGAAATAAAAGGATCTGTTAAAAAAAGATCCCCTTTGGGTTATGAATCTTGATTAAGGTGAAGACACTTCTATATAATTTAGAATTTTTTAAAGCCCTATAACGATTTTAATTATACAGTAAACTTGTGAAAGTCAAAATCTGCATAAGCAGAAACCTGCCATAGAGGAAAACTCAAATATTTTCCCGTAAAAGGCACTATAGAAAAGTGGTAGGGCTGAAAAGTTGGAAAACTTGAGACACACACATAAGGACAGACATAGATGAGAAGGCTTCAAAAAGCGCATGGAAAATTTTAATGAAAAGGTAATGGAATTTTTTCTGTGAACTTTTTGAAGCCCCCTTTATATAGTACAGGAGCCATGGTGGTGCTATGTGATGGGCTACTAGCAGCAAGTTCTGGCAATTCAAGCCTACCAGCTGCACTGCAGGAGAAAGATGAGGCTGTCTGCTCCCATAAAGATTCATAGTTTCCGAAACCCTATATAGGGTGGCTATGAGTTGGAATCAACTCAATGGCAGTGGGTTTTTATTGATTATGTATATGGTGCACACATAACAGCAGGGGTTCAATGTTTTTCATTTATAGAAAACTGTGCTATATACCTTCAAGAAAGTGTGGTTGGTCTGGGTAAGAACTAACAAGTAAAGATGTCATGATGTATTGTTAAGGTAAAAAGCAAAGCTACAGAGTATCTGGGACCGTATATCCTTTTTATGTAAAAAGAACATATATGCAAAGATGATGAGTACTAACAATTATTATGTATGTATAAAAGAAAACATGGAAAGATAAACTCAAGTGTGGAAGCACTTTTTATTTTCTACATTGTTGTTGTTGTTATTAGGTGCCATCGAGTCGGTACCAACTCATAGTGACCCTATGCACAACAGAATCACTGCCCAGTTCTGGGCCAACCTCACAATTGTTGCCACATTTAGCCCATTGATGTTGTCATATTGCCAATCCATCTCACTGGCAGTCTTCCTCTTTTTCTCTGACCCTCCATCTTATTAAACATGATATCCTTCTCCAGTGACTATTACTAGCTTATCATTTTAAAAAATCATCTTTAAAATATGTTTCTTTGTAATCTTGACAGTTTTCCTTTTAAATATTAGCACATTTAGGATGAAAAGAAACTTGCCAGAATAATGACATCTAACTCCCAAGGAAGAATCTATTGGGAGAGGAGGGGGATGTTTACACAAGGGTAAGTCAAAAATTACTGCTACCAGGGTTTCAGCTCAGACACGCACAAGTTTATTTCAAACAACACATGTTTAAAAATAGTTTGATGATCAGTGGATGGCTGTAGACAAGCTCTCTCAATAGTATGCTTGTCTTAGTCTCCTCAGGGTATCTTATAAAAAAAAAAAATCCAATTAAAACAGTGGGGATCTGCAGGGCCAGTTCAATTCAAGATAGAAAGGTCAGCTCAGAAAATTATGGCAACTTTGTTGTGAGACTCCAAAAGAAGTCATCTTGATAGGCTTTCTTAAAGGACACAGGATGATCACAGGGCTTATTAGGAAGAAGTTTCAAGGAATCTGAAAACTATACCAATGATCAGAAAAAGGCCAGGAAAGTTGTGCGGAGGAATCTATTCCCATAATGACAATGTACCTACTCAGTTTTCAAATATAGCAAGGGTTATACTACAAGAATTTTGTTGGGAAACTACCCTAGCCACTTCACAGTTCTGATCTTACCCCTTTAGATTTCTTTCTGTTCCCCAAATTCAAAGAGCATTTCAAAGAAACATGATTTAAGTCCCTTAAGGCTGTCAAAACTGCCATTAGACATGGTGTAAATTGAAGAGCAAAGAATCCTCAGGGAAAGGTTGTTGTTAAATGCCATTGAGTCATTTCTCCAACTCATAGCAACCCTGCATAGGGTTTCCGAGGAATGGCTGATGAGTTTGAACTGCTGACCTTGTGGTTCAAACTGACCTTGTGATCCAGAGCATTATCCATTACAGAGATAAAAACAATGCCTATAAAAGTGTATAGCCCTAAGTTTAGTTTAAGAGTGTGGGGGGGAAGGTAGAGTCCCCATAGAATAATTTTCATCTTGTCTAGATGGGTCTGGTGAAAAGAGATGAGAATAAGATTCTTATGATTCAATAGTGAGTAGTTGGTATCATGAATAATTGCAGTTGTAACAATTGTAAAGGTAGAAGTTTTGTAACATAAAGTGGGGAGTAGTTAATATTATAGTCCAGGAACAGAGGACCCTATGACCATCAAGGGAGAAGAGCACAAGTGAAATGTTGGACCCTATCTAGAGAAGCAATGACACTAGAGATGGAGGCAGAAATAAGAGCACGGAGAGAGAGAGAGCAGCTGAGGACTCTAGACTCATGGAAAGAGAAAGGCTGAGTACTGGCGGCCAGGAGGCAAGCTTACAGAATGTGTCCTTTGGTTATTTAAATTATGATATATTCCTGAGTGTTTTTGTGTACTTCTCCCCCATCCTCCAAAGAAACATAGGGAATAGAAGCAAATACTGTTGAATGATGATGCATGGAGGAGATTGTAATCATTGCAATGAAACGGTGAGTGTAAAACTGATGTTCTCCAATGTTAAACTATCACTCGATTCACAATAAAAACTTAAAAAAAAAAAAAAAAAGTTCATAGCCCTAAACAGAGGATAGTCCAGAAACAATAGCTTTGCACTCTGATATTTTCATTTAATAAGGGTTTATATGATTTTGTAGAAATATTTTTTGACTCATCCTCATATTTCAGTGCTTATAGTAGCCAAATAAAGAACACAACACTTTTTATTTTCAGGTTTATATTTATATTCCCTACATAAACTGCTGATTAAATCACAGTTTTAAAATATTTATCACCAAGTATCATTCAATTTCTCTGCAAGCTAGTAGTGCAGAGCAAATAAAATTATTCCATAAAATTTAAATGGACTCAGCACATTAGCACAACATATTTAATTAGAAAGTTTAATAATAATTATTTTATCCTGACCAGAAAATGAAGAGATGCACTATAGAACAACTCTTTTTAAACTCACATTACTTTGCTATTCAGCATAATATTTGTATTTTTCCCCCCCTTGGAAATATCTATGTGGTATAGGAAATTATTTTATAATTCACATTTTACAAATGCTGATATACTCTATATTATTGAAAGTATTCAATCATTTCTTTCTAATTGTATCCACTGATTATGCTGAAAACCAAATTTATTTTTTTAAATAAAATTATACAGGCCTCTGAATAGGGCCTATATCATTAACTATACCAGAGTTATATTTTGGAATTTCATTTCTTAAATAGCATAATTTCATGTATACACTTATCTCCATATGGAAGAGAGTCTTAAGAAGAACAGGAGGAAACAACTCTAGGCAAAAAATTAGAGTCTACCAAGAGATTTCAAGAAATCACCTTTATACTGAGGTAATGCTCTGAAGCATTCACTTGGCAGTGGGATCTATGTCTAAGCATGACCCATGACCCTATGTTTAAAAACAATGCACCAAATTATTAACCAAGATTGGAATTGCTCCCCAAGTAAGATAGTACAAATTAATTTAAATTTCAAAATAGCACTTGAATTCTAAAAATGAAATGAAAAAACAATTGAAAATATGGGGACTGTTAGCTTTTAATTAATTATAACTATTGCATAGTGGTTATGAGTCAGGCTGCTAATCTCAAGGTCAGCAGTTTGAAACTACCAGCAGTTTCACAGAGAAAGAGGAGGCTTTCTGTTCCCATAATGATTTACATTATCGGAAACCCTAAAA